AAAAAAAAAGAAAAAAGGAAAAAAACAACTTAAAACCCACACGCATGTTTGTCTACATATCAACATGCGGACATACACATGTAGTTTACTATTATAATATCTTTTTTAGACAATATATGGAAAAGTACACTAAGTGTGCATCTGATGAAGATGGTGGGTATATGTTCATTTCTCCTGTTCTTATAGAGCTTGGAGAGTTAATACTGCTTAACTCGGATCAGTCTTAGTTGAATATTTTGGACGCGGCTACATGAATATTTGATAAAAGCTACTAAATTACGTGTGAATCCTCTTTTCTCTGTGGAGCTACATTATTTGCATCTCTTATATGTCTATATTCACCAATCACTTTCACCCATGTCAGTCTTAATCCTCCCCTACTCTTTTTTTGATCCTCCTACATGATTCTGCTCTCTTTTTTGCGTTGCTTCATGTTATCACCAAACCATCTCAAGTAACTTCCCTACTCGGTTGTGATGAGAAGTAAAATATTCTTTTTTATTTACTCTTTTTATGGTTTTTGTTAATATACTGAATCCTATAATTCTCTGGTCTGCAGCTGCACTTGAAAGAGAGATGTGGTCCTCGGCAACTATCAATGAAGAGGTCTTAAGAACCTTGCACGTGATATTTTCCAACTTCCCCAAGCTCCATATCTCCGAAGCAGCTACTCTCTGCATTCCCAATTTAATAGGAGTTCTAAAATCTGGTAGTGAGGCAGCTCAGGAATCTGTATTAGACACCCTATGCTTGTTAAAACAATCTTGGGCAACCATGGCAATAGAAATAGCAAAATCTCAAGCCATGATTGCTGCTGAAGCCATTCCCACACTGCAAATGCTCATGAAGACCTGCCCGCCGAGTTTCCATGAGAGAGCAGACAGCCTTTTACATTGCTTACCCGGTTGCTTGACTGTTACAATTAGGCGTGGAATCAACCTCAAGCAGGCTATGGGAAGCACAAATGCCTTTTGTCGATTAACAATAGGCAACGGTCCTGCTCGACAAACCAAGGTAGTAGATGTATTATGTACTGAAATAACATGTTCATTTTCTAGTTGACATGCAATGGTTTAAGCTTTCTGTCATCGTTTCCAGAAAATGTGAAGTTCATAGTATAGCGTCAATCGCAATCAAGATATGGCAACTCAGGATTTCGAACTTAAGTTTAAATAACAGTTGAAGTAGGCTACACCTGGATCTTCCAGAAATTTTGTTTTTATGGAAATAAATGATATTGAATTTCCTTTAAGGAGTTCCAGTTTTAAGTAACCAATTCCGGGATTTAACAAGAATAAATTGGTTATGGAAATTATTGTGCAAAGGACTTAATAATGATTTAAAATTGTGTGTTTCGTATCTGGTGATTTTATTTCTAACAGCTTACAGTCACGTTATGCTAACATACGCTTTTATCCTAATTAGGTAGTGAGCCACAGTATTTCTCCAGAGTGGGAAGAAGGGTTTACATGGGCATTTGATGTACCTCCGAAGGGACAAAAGCTTCACATCGTTTGCAAAAGCAAAAATACTTTTGGGAAGGTAATCAGTGTTACGTTTATTGCTTTACATTCTTTGCAATTTGGTCGTCCATGCGATCATGTCTACATTGTTTATCGCTGCACATGGCTGATGTTCACATGGCATTTTCTTATTTTTATATCCTAAACTCTGGCACATATAATGCATCTTGACAATTGGATTTATGTGCCTTTCTTTTTCAGAATACTCTGGGAAAAGTGACTATCCAAATTGACAAAGTTGTTACTGAAGGGGTATACAGTGGATTGTTCAGCCTTAATCACGATGGCAACAAAGACGGATCTTCGCGCTCACTAGAAATTGAGATTATCTGGTCCAACAGAATATCAAATGAAGGTATGTGAAGAGACATACCTCGGATGAGGAATACGGCAATTGGGCAGCAAATACACCCACAAAGCTATGCAATAGAAAAATAAATAATTATCTTAATAGGGCGGGCGAATTTCTTATGGTTGTAGTTGTTGATGTCTTCTGGAGGTCCAGTTTTGTAGTCTTAAGTTGTCTTAAGTGTAAATTATATTCGTTAACTTGAAAGTGGAAAGGCATTGCCACGATATAGGAATTTTAAAAGCTGATAGGAGTTTGTACAGGTAAGTCTCTGTAGGTGTTAGCTTTTCAGAGATACTAGGAATAAACATTTTAAAATCCGTGAATTTGAGCTTTTTCCATGAAATTATGCCCTTTCAATGACGTAAATAGGGCTGTACATGTTGTATTTGTTACCTGTACTATTTTCAAATAGCATCCACATGGCCATTGGTTTTGAGAAAAGATTCCTTTTGGGCAACAAACTCTGATATGCAAATTGTTGTTTGCAATTTCTTGACTTGGTAAGTTTACCAATCCCCAGTACCATATCATGTACTTATAGCAACATGTTAAAACCTCATTCGCTTTGTGTATT